AACGATGCTTTGGGAGAAAATATTCTTTTAATTATTAATAATCATGTAATTATATAATAATTATGTAATCATAGACAAAAATAAAAAATGTAGCTCATTTTTCCAAAATATTTTAATCTCCCAACTTCTGGATATTTTTTGTTCACAAATTTTAAAAGTAAGCAATAAAATTATGTACTTAACCTGTAACCTATATAAAGGGTATAATAAGAAAGTATTATTTATTGTTAGAAAGATGGAAAAGTAGCAGCAAGTGTGTGGTTGTAGTGGTTTGTGTGTGTGTCAATGTGAGTTGTGGTGTAGAAGATTTGTAGAGAGATTTCTTCAGGTGTAAGAAGATAGCAAAGAGAACGTAGAATGTTTCAACTTGTTGTGGCGGTGGCAAGTGTTGCATGTTTTTTTTTTTTTTTTGTTGAAGAAGTGTTATTTTGTTTTGAGGAAAAATCTTTTTTTAAAAATTTTGTATTTTCATAAAAATACATACAAAAATTAATACATATACTCAAATACAAATAGTTAGTGTGTCATTAGGAATATACGAAGTCAATCTTAGTTCAATAAGAGATAGATACAGAGAAAGGGAAAACAGCGTTACGATATCCATGCAAATTTTCCACATTTTCATAGCCATACGAGAAAATAAAAAAATATTTGGAAGTGAAAAAAAATAAAACTGTACATACATCAGAGTCTTGTGATAGGAGAGGAAATGGAAATTTTCAAATAAAAAACGACATTTTTGTGTTGTTTCTCTTTGACGAGAAAAATGGATCTCGGTGTAAAACATGGCGTGAGAGAGTGAAAGCAAAAGTGAAGGTGTTGACTTGTGAACAAGGACAATTTTAAATATCAGTTTCAAAGAGGGAGGTAGAAACCAAACAAAAAATATAACACAAAAGAGACAGAGAGAGTGAGAGTGAGACAAAACACATTAGGCAAGACCAAATAAATTTCAAGGAAGGATCACATGGTACAAACAGCAACATCAACAACAGATAAGATGGTGTCAAACTTTGTTCAGAGCACGCACGGCTGTAGAGTACACACGCATACACATAAAGAGAACGTCATTAAGTATTTGAAATGGCCAAAAAACTACAACAAGGCGATTTAGTTTTAGGTGGTGCATTTATTTTTTTTCTTTTGGCTGGATAGTAGTGCAATGTAAAATGAATGCCGGTACACGGTCCACACAGTATGGGGCCAGGAAAAATATCAAAACAAAAATTAAAGTTCAAACAATAATAAAAAACGACACTTATAAAAAAATAAGAAACACACACATATACATAAAAAAACACAATATTAAAATAGTAATTTGGAAAGAGGTCGGAAGGGTATTTTTGGTGCCAAAAATTATTAAAAAAAATATTTGTATAAAAATTTCACAGAATTTCATTCAAGTTTTTTTTAGAGCTGATTGTTAGTAACATTTTTAGAAGATTGGTGGGTGCATAATTAAAAGAAGAAAGATAACAAATCAAAAGAAAATCGTAAAAATGAATAGGTCATTCCAGAATATAATTTCTAATTTCAGTTTTTAGAATGTAAAGATCTGCAAAATATGTGTATTTTTTAAGCCTATACATGTTTAAATCTGGTTTGGTGCGAAAAAGATCCACAAATTCGTTTTTCCTAATATAAAAGTCAAATGTCCTGTTTCTGTATGTCGAAAATAAATGCAGAAGAAGAAGAACATCAATTCTTACTCAAAAAAATTTTTATTGGTCGTTTTTCGCTATAGATCGCAATTACTTTCGTATAATCTTAAAAAACGAAAAATTATATATACATTTTTTTGATAGAGGGGATTTTTTCTCCGGCTATCTGTCATAACAACTCACTATCTAGTCCCATAAACGTCGTATTGACCCGTAACGCACTGATGCTACCATATGACAACATGGCAATATCATAAATATTATGAAAATTTTAAAGAGTACTGAAAAGTACTTCGTACTAAATATGGAACAATTTTTATTAAATGATCGGAAGTCCAAATTTTTGTATATTACCTTCTAAAATACTTATTCAAATAGTCTTTGGAAATCCGTACTTAGAGTGTACGCAAAGTTGAAAAAGATACTAATTATTACTACATTACTGCCTCAAAATCAGGAAAAGCAAAAGCTTCATATTATAAACGGACGACGAAAAAGTAGTACAATTATTAAAGAATGCATAAGTCTATGGTAAGAAGGAGAAGCATACGATCTGATATATTTACGAAAAACGATCTGAAATATTTTATGTTGTTTTTTCTATGGATTTGTTACATGGTACCAAAGAGTACAAGAATCACAAAAAGGAATCAAAAATAGTACCATTGGCTTTGTCTGTAGTACCCAAATAGCATATTTGGTAATTTCATTATGACTTTGAAAGGTGTAGGTACTAAAAATGGTAATTGTCGTACTCTAAGTGGAAATTGAAGTATTATCTCTTAACCCTTTCGTATACTTAATTTAACTATTTTTTTTTCAATTTTTTTCTTACGATTACCTTTAACTGCAGAGGTGGAATTTTGGGTCGAATTTTATGACGTGGTGGTAAATTTTACCTCTCTTAGTTTTACAAAAATAAAACGTTTGTTTAAAAATATTTTTATTTTGTATTTCTGTATTTGAAATTACAATAAGCATAAGAAACACTTTTATTTATCGCAATGGAAGAGAGAATTTCAACAAAATGTTGAGAGATGGTAACATTTACCACCACATCGTTAGTTAAAGCGAACTTGTCTCTTATCTAGCTCCATGGACTCCAGTCGTTTGTTGTGCGTATGAGTGATATGAATAATTTATGAGATCACTCATACGTTTAGGAACTGGTGTACTGAACTATGAACCAGATTAACACAATTCTACACTAAATTTACAAATTCTGATTAGATCGAAATTTACTACTTTTCAAATCGAATTTCGCAGAAAAAAATCTCGGTCATACCGAAAGTTTAATTTTCTCAATTCTTGCAATATTTAATTATTTTTCGTACAAATTTCCAAAAACAGCACCTTATCTGATGCATGAGACTTCTGATATTTTAATACAGAATTTTAGCCCAAAAATCAGTTTTTAGTACTTTTTACTAGGTTTAGTCCAAATTTCGAATAAAAATTGACAATTTTTAAATCGAACTTGGTACAATTTTTTTGGGAAAATTTTACAATTTTTAAAATCGAATTTCGCAAAAAAAAATTTGCTGCATCATACAAACCTAAATATCAAATTTTAGAATTCTATCTTTAGTAGTACAATATTTTGTACTTTTCGTACAAATTTCCAAAAAAAGCATATACATACCAAAATACAAGATTTTAGCTCAAAAATCATATTAAGCACGAAAAGTGACCGAAATGTGAAATGAAATTTTAATTTTAGACCAAAAAATACAGTTTATAGTACTTTAGCACAAATTTTGTAGAAAAATTGTACTACTTCTAAAATGCTGTTTCAGTAAGTACATTTTCGTTCCAAAAAATTAAAACATCTTATATTTTGCCTCAAACATACCTTCAGGCGAAATTGTACAATTTTATCTTCAAAAATATACAATTTAGCTCCAAAATACAGACTGAAATACATTTTGGAACCTTTTAGAGAACTTCATTTTAAAATATTCTAGCCCTAAACTTTGAACTTTAGACCAACAAAACACAGTTTTTATTCTAGTATATTTTTGTACGAATTTCCAAATCCACATTATTGTCTAAACGCTATCAATTTACAGTTATCCCTCTACCAATATTTATAATTCTAGTTCATTACCAACACTAAACATAGAATTTAGTACCATTTGGTATTTTTCATTCACTAAATGATAGGAATTTCCAAAAACACCCCATTGCCTAAATTCTGGACTCCCACAGTGAATGTAGCTATTAAATTCATATGTTCAGATCAATTCCTTCGTAATATGCCGAATTTAGTACCATCTGAGGGCTTCACATTCGCAGTGCTCCTAATAACAAAATTCACCATTTCTTATTTTTCTTTACACTACATGCAAAATTTAGTACCATTTGATACGATTGGCACACTTAAGTACGTATTTCCAAAACCACCAACATATATAAGGAATATTTGTCAATTTTGATTTTCATATAACATTTCAGGATTTTAGCCCCATTTGCTTCTCAAAGACATCGTGTTACCGAATAAGGAAATTTTAGTACATTTCGTACACAATATAGTACAATTTTAAAATCCACCTCCTTATTTTGGGTTACACACTTATATTGATCCCTACAATAAAATTCACAAATCCACTTCGATTTCTACGCTCTGTGCCAAATTTAGTACAATTTTGTCCTTTTTTCACTTTTTGTACGAATTTCGGGAACGACTTCCTTAAATGAATCCTTTACTAAATTTTCACTTCCTTTTTTTATTTATTCACCCGAAACCATATTGTACCAAATTTAGTATCATTTAGCACTATTGGAAAACTTAAGTACGCATTCCCAAAATTCACCTACTCATCAGGCATACTTCTAAACTAAGAATGCCATTTTAAACTTCAATATTTTAGCTCTATCCATTAAAAAAATCGTGGTTCTAAATTAGTTGCTTTTAGTACTTTTGTATACTGGAAGCTCGAATTTTCTAAAAACCTTCTGTTACATCTATGTGGCCACCTCATGCAATATTTCAGACTTTTAAGTCTTCCCCTGCCCCTAATTTAAATGGTACAATATTTAGTTCATTTAAGTACTTTTCGTACCCTTTTAGTACGATTTTCCAAAAACTCGGTCTTATTTAGCACCACCGGCCCAAGACGAAATTTCAAGATTCTATCCTCAGTCGTTTTGTCTCGGCATCAGCAAGTCAGTCTGTCTTTCTTTTAATTTTTCAATCAATCAATTTTTTTTTATTGATAAACCTTTCTGGAATGACCCATATCTTTACATTAAAAATAAAAATCAGCAACAAAAATAAAAAACAAATATTAAAAAAAAAAATAAACAAATAAAAACAATTACATTTGAGATTATTCTTACATTTGCATGAATTTGTAAATCGCCCGACGTCAATGCATTGTGGACACCGACACTGCCGACATTACTGGGGCCGCCTGTTGGCTTTTTACCTGTGATACACCGGTGTGCCAGATGAGATGGAGATTTTTGTTATGTTTCGTCGAAAAAAGGATGGCGAGGGAGTCAGCAACAATTAACGAATTTTTATTTTCGTTTTTGGCCAGTCAGTTCGTTCAGTTCAGTTGTTCAATGTCCATTGATGGGCCACAATGGATGCCAATACATATGCACACACAAGCACACAGGCCGGCCGAGTGAGTGAGTAAACGAACGAGGAAACATATATCGTGGAATAAACGACACACAAGAACACACGAATACACACACACGCACGCACGCCCACACATATGCCGTCAAGTTAAAGGTTGCAGGTGGGAGAGACACACCACGGGATGCCATTGATTGGTTAAATTGAGTAACGTATTTTGGTTGTGATTTTCGTTTTTGTTTTGTGGGAGAGGAATAGTATGTGGGTGGATTGTGGTAGGGGGTGGTAGTGAGAACACACAAACACACACAGAGGAAATGGATCACATATACATCACAGTGCATCGTTTTCATCATCGTTCGTTATTATCATTAGCCGCCGTCGCCGCATCATCATCGTCGTCATCAGCAATATGGTCGCCGTCGTCGTTGTTATTGTTGTTATTTTTATTATCATAGTTGTCATCATTGTCATTCAATTTTAGATTTTACATGGACCCAAACAACAACAACAAAACATTATTTGTTGTACAACATCATCAGCGTTGATGAAAAGGTGGTCGTCGTCAAAAAAAGAACGTGGGAGAAGAACATGTTGTTGGTTGTTTTGTGGTGTTTAGGGGCGGGGGGTTGAGGTTGAGGTTGGGATTTTTCAATGCATTTGTGTGTTGGTTGTTGTGGGAGAGGTAGGGTTTTGTTTAGGTGGTGTTTTTTTTTTTTCATATAAGGTTTACACATAAATAGAGATGGAGAAAATCAAAAAGAAACACAAAAAAGTGGAGAAAAATTTCATTAGTTAATTTCATTTGGTAACATTATGATCAAATTAATGGATGACATTTTGTTATTTGTTTTTGTTTTTTAATTTTGTTTAGTTTTTTTTTCTCAGTTTTTCAGCTGATTCATAAAACTTTGATATATTTAATTAAAAAGGTTTGTGTGTTTATTTCCCTGGTGTTTGTGGTCTATTTAGTGTCAGATGGATGTTTTGTAAAAGGGGTTAATTTTATTAGTTTTTTTTTTTTGGAACAGAAAAAAATTAAATGAAATTAACATTTCTACTGTTGATAATAGTTTTTTTTTTTATTTGAAACTGTGGAGAATTTGTAGGATTTTAATTTTTTTGTAGTTATAAAGATACATTAAAAAATTTACTACGAAATTCTTAGACAAAAAATATGGAATATTAACAGGGAATATTAAAAGAATAACTGAAAAGTATTATATTATTAAAATTAAAAATTATATTTAATAATTTAATACTTATAAAAAATTTAATATATATTATAAATAAATATCTTCTAATTTTTATAAATAATTTATATAAATTCTGTTATAAAAGTTCTTACGAAAACTATTTTATATTATTTTGAGAATAAATTAAAAATAAATTTTTAACATATTTTATATGTATAATTCGAAAATCTTAAAATTACGCCTAGCATATGAAAATAAAATCAGAGCAATAATTTATTTATTTTTAATTTCAAATTTTTAATCCAAATTTTTTAATTTAATTTCAAATTTTTATTTGGGCGCCATTTAATGCCTATATTGTCATATATTACAGGCGGAACGTTCGCAGGGCTACTATTCTGTTATTATTTGTATGTTATGCATGGAAAAGTTAATTTTTTTTCTCATTGACCTCCCTTCCCCTGAAAAAATGCTTGAAATTTTTAGTTTCTTTCCGACTTTCTATATATTTCATCTATCTTTCAGGTCTATTTCAATGTCATTTCAGACATTTTCTAAGCACCAATAACTCTTGCACCTTCAAATGTGCAGCAAAGATAGGAACCCCCTCGACCCTAAAAGCGAAGAAAATTTTTTCTCCCAAAGACCTCTGGAGCTGTATGGTAACTGGTCCAAAACGGAGATTTAACCTTAAGACGGGACCGTGCAATAAGCCAAACAACTGCAGAAGATGTTGGTGAAGACTTTCCTTACATAGATTGGAGTTTAACGGATCCAAGCTCTCTCGAAATGAGAATAGAAACAAATTAAGATCTTAAATACCATATTTAACAGTTATATATTTTCTATGGAAATTTTTTGAAAAAGCTTTTTTGATTTTTAAAAAAAAAACATTTGTTTAAATACTTCAAGAATTTGTATTGTGGAAATTTTAAAATCTTTTTTAAAATCTCCGCAATTTAAAATTTATTTTTTTTAATATTTTTTGAAGAAGATTCTTAGTTTATTAGCCAGGATTCTATTTCTAAATCGTGTTTAAAAATATTCATTAAATAATTTTGTGGAAGGACTTCCAAACTAATAACCGAAGAGTTATCATGATTTTTTTTTAAATAATTATCTATTTTGACTTATAAAGTTATAATTCTGGACATTTGAGATATGTTTTATGGAGAGCTATTTTTCAAAACATTTTTATATCGTGAAAGATGTATATTGTCTATTTTTTAAGAATATATTTTGAAGATCTATAGTGAATTTTATAAGAATATTTTGAAAGGCCATCCAAAATAACAAATATGATCCTTTCGAACATTTTGTTTTGAAGAGTTATCGTTAATTTTTAAGTGATTTCTTTATATTTGTTCTTTTATATTTAGTGCGATTTCTTTATATTTGGCTGGAAAACCACAAGTGGCTATCGTCAGAGCACTCCAGCATTTAAATGTGAATAAATCTGTTGTGACTCATACCATCGCTCGTTACCGTGATACTGGTTGCGTAGCTCGACGTCAAGAAAGTGGACGAAAGAAAACAGCAACATCAGCAGAAATGGTTCGAAAAGTAAACAAGCGACTTGTTCGAAACCCGCGTCGCAGTGGCCGAAAAATGGCTCGTGAGCTGAACATATCGCAATATTCCATTCGGCAAATATTGAAAAATGAGCTCGGGGTAAAGCCATTGAAATTCCAAAAAGTGCAAGAACTTACACCGCAACAGAAAGAAAATAGACTCAAAAAAGCTAAAGAGTTGCTTCGCTTGGCCATAAGTGGTGAACTGCCGAATTGGGTTTTCTCCGATGACATTCCGAAAACATTCGTTGTCCAGCAGTTTGTAAACAAACAAAATTATCGTGTTTACTTGCCAAAGAGGTCAGCTGATAATGGGCACCTTGTTGATTGGCCACCAGAACTCAAGCGTCAGCCATGGTGATGGTGTGGGCTGTCATAACAGCCCATGGTCGCTCTCCACTCTGCTCGTATTAATCGACCGCGGCATCAGAATAAATGCCAAATATTATTACGAAAATATTCTGGAGGGTGTATTAAAGCACCCTCAAACATTTTGGCCAAAGACCTTGGACATTGCAACAGGACTTGGTGCTGAGTCCTGTTGCACTCAGCACACGCCACCCAAGAATGGTTACAAAATGAGGTTCCTCGCTTCATTTCGCGCGCACAATGGCTACCAAAATCCCCGAATTCCAATCCGTTGGACTATTTCATCTGGAGTTTTTTAGAAAACAAGGTTGGCACTAAAAAATACCAAAGTGTCGATCACCACAAGCAAGCGCTTTGCCGGGAATGGGCCACAATACCACAGAGTAACATTCGGGCAGCGTGTGACGGTTTCATTGGCCGTTTGAAGGTTATAATTCGTGCCAAAGGTGACCAATTCGAAGAAATCTAAACTTATTCTAAAATTTGATGCTATTTCCGACATTTTTTGCATTCATTCAATAAAATTTAAAAAATGTAACAATTTTGCTTATTTTTTTTTGAACGTGTTGCATTTTTGATCTTACCCTGTACACATGTTATATCCGATTTTGGATTTAAGTCCCTCACATTCGTAGCATGAACTCTACAACAATGATATATGTTACCTGAAAATTCCTCTGCCAAATTTTATCGAGATTCGTTCAGATTTGGATATATCTGCATTACATATCTTTATTCGATTTCAGGTTTATTTTTGGTAGACGAAAAACCTGAAATCGAAAATCAGATAAATGTAATATCTGCCCAAATTATGAAACTCGGTTCCCATATATTTATTGCTCCGAGACTTTATTATAATCCTTCTCAAAGCAATGCTATTTGGTACAAAAGGTACATATGCCTCCGTCATATTTGGTGGAAATCGATATAGAATTGGATATCTCATATACTACTTATGTTTGTTTTTATTTCGGGAAAATTTCTAAAAAATAATTAGCAATTTTTTTTTCTAGCTATTTTTCTGTTTCTTCACAAAAAAAAAAAAATTCAAATGTTTAAAGGTTTTTATTTTTCTGAAGTGAAAAAAAAATATTTTCAATTACATGACAATTTTTATGATTCTACAAATTATTTTTCTTCCAACATACGAAAAATCTTACTGACGTCAAACTTGTATTCGTCCAATTCCCCTAACAAATAATTTTATTATATGATATTTTTAAATACTTGCCCGTATTGTACTTTTTTTTGAGTAAATAAATTTTGAAAAACAATTATTTTAATAACGATTTTAACAATGTCGTCACATTTTTCTTACCAGAAGCACCCTTAAAGCCATTTCAATTTGTAAATTGAAAGAAGAAAATACGGTTCAAAAAAAAAAAAAAAATCAATTGGAACTAATATTTCTTGCAATTGGAATTTTAAGGCCTTAAGGTACTGAAAAAGAGTATCAAATTCAAATGTGGTATTAAATATATCTGGTGGCAAAATATAATAAATATTGTGTTATATTTTCTTGAGGTGTTGTTTATATACAGCATCCCACCAAAAGCAACATCCCAATTTAAAAAAAAAATCTACTGAGATTGCATCCCATATTTCCCAAAGCCTTAGTTTCTCCCATCACATTCCAAAAATCTCCAACGATCCACTCACTCTACTATCGCCTCAAATAATATTTTATAATTACTTATATACTTTCA